TTTTTTTTCCCCCAAAGCCCCAGTAGACAGTTGTATGTTATAGTTGCACATCCTTCTAGTTGCTGTATGTGGGATGCGGCCTCAGCATGGCTGGAGAAGCAGTGCGTGCCCGGGATCTGAACCTGGGCCACCACTAGCGGAGCGCGCGCACTTAACCGCTAAGCCATGGGGCTGGCCCGACATTTCTGTTTTCTTGTAACTTTGAAGTTTTCAAATTTCCCACAGTGGGTATACATTTCATGTTCTGATGTTAACAGGATAATTTTTAATATTTGTTAGACTTTTTTATTTTATAAGAAGCTGATTGTGTTCAAAAATCAGTAAGAAAAAACAGAGTTGGAGGTAGGAATAGAAATATTGTTTAGGGAGCTGGCCTGGTGGCATAGTGGTTAAGTTCGTGTGCTCTGCTTCAGCAGCCCAGGGTTCGTAGGTTCGTAGGGCAGACGGATGCACTGCTCATCAAGCCATGCTTTGGTGGCATCCCACATACAAAATAGAGGAAGATGAGCACAGATGTTAGCTCAGAGCCAATCTTCCTCCCAAAAAAAAAAAAAAAGGAAATATTGTTTAGAATAGATGGGCAGCTCTTTGTAAGAACAGTATGTGAGTATGAGAAGGGAATGGAGGGAGGTGGACTTGAGAGAGAAGAAGGCAGCAGAAGTTGGTAAATGAAAGCAAGAAACCAGAGTAAGGGGTGCTATGGCCAAAATGGAAAAGTGGGTGGTCAGGGAGCTTGGCGGAGAGTGGACTCGGAGCGCAGGCAGCCTGAACTGGGTCTCCTGCGCTAATGGTTAGTGAGCAAAGTGTGATCTCCACTAGTAGAGTAGACCTCAGGTGTTTCAAGGGTGGTGAGGTGTTAAGAGAGATGCTTACTGTTTGTCATTAACTTAGCCACTATGTTTTTCTCCACAGAATCTCTTTGGGTTGAGTTCCATGGAAGTTTGTCACTCACTGACCTGTGTTCCTGAACTATGAAACGTGAATATTTGGGCTAAGGAATAGTTTCTCTTGATAAATAAATAAGAAATACATGGACAGTAAGTCTTTGCTCAATTATTCTTACTGATATTATTCAAGGCACTTGCATCAGAACTGATTAGGGATGTTAACTGTGTTTATGAACCTTATGAAGACAACTTGATTTCAGTATTAAAAATTTAATTGTTTTAGGACATTTTTGATTGCTCTGCTGTTTTGTCCATTTCACTGAGATACTGCTAGTTGCAGTTTAGTCCTGGGCCATGGATTTAAGGCCTACATGAGCCCACATGACTATGGTCATCCCTCAGTATCCACAGGAGATTGGTTCCAGGACACCCCCCATAACAAAATCCAAAGATGCCCAAGCCACTTAGCTTTCCATATGCATGAGTTCCCCATCTGCAGATGCAACCAGCTTGTAAACATAGTACACAGTCCTTGTGGGCTTCATTGTCACTGTTTGGTAGTTCTGCTCAATCAACACTCAAGACAGATAAAATAGATAATTGAAATTTAAGGATCTTTACTCAGTATTGCTTTATTAAAGAGCCAACAGTATATATATACATTTCAGAATATAGATCAGGTCCAGAAAAGGTTGTGTTAGTTACTTAACCAGAATTGAGTAATGTCTGCTAATGACTAACAGTGTGGTAACTTATTTCGAAGGAGGTCTTAGGACCTTTCTCCCCTTAATTAATTATGCTTTTTGTTGTGATCAAAGTGATACCACAAAGAGCTTTAAAAATTAAGTTTACTTCAGCCACAGCTAATTTAATCACCAACTGTTGCTATATTAGGATAACAAAAAAAAATTTATTATCCTTTTTAACTCGTGCAAAATTCTTGAGTGAGTCACAACATGAGCTGTATTATACCTGGGTATCACTGAAAAACTGCATTTTAAAAACCCTTGGTGACAATACACATTTATGTGTGCTCGGTAATTCAAGGATTCATTTTAAACAATTTTATATGATAATTTTTAGACGTAGTATGCAAAATTACCATAAAAGAAGAATTAATACATATTTACATTCTTAAAAATAGTTACTCTTGAGGTTAGTTGACAAAACTATCACTTTCCTAAATGAGTATAAAACACAACAAACTAATGGAGGAACCATTTTTTCATATTCGGCCTGAACTGTCATTAACAAACAAAAACAACAGTCTTGCTTTCCAAAAACAATTAATTATACAGTGACTTCTTATACTCAGTCACGTATGAGACTTAAGTTAAAGGTCAGTGGGCATTTGAAATGAATTTGCTTAGCATCTCACAATTGTAGGTGATAGACTTCAGGTCCAAGTTTGGATGTAATCAGTAACAATGTGTTCTGATCGGAGTATGAGATATTTACTGACTATTAAAGATGCTATCATCTGGTGACCCAGGATCTTGAGCCAGACCCCCCCCCCCCCCCCGTTAAATGCAGAATTATCAGACACTGTGAAGATCTTTGTGCTTGATCAAGTCAATTCAGCAAAATAAAGTATTTATTTATTTGGACTGATTCACTCTTAAGATTAATGTTGGGGTTCCTGACTCTCCTCCAGTGCAGCAGGGCAGTATGAATTCTGCTCTACCCCTTCCACAGGGAGTGTCAAAGGGAGTTCCTAGTAGTGTTTTGTTTATGAAACTAAAGAAACTCACCTGAGCACTTTGGGTTTGTTTCATCAGTAGACACAAAAGATTTATTCCAAGCTTGCCTAGTAAAATCTAAACTGGAAAAACATTTTTTCCAAAACGTACCTGGACAGTCATCAGAATGTTCTGTAAATTTCAGTAAAACACAGACTTGAAAGTAGGAATATACATAGCAGCTTTGACTTAAAGAATAGCATCCCATTTAAGTAACAAATTTAACTGGTTAAACAATAAAATCCTAAACATTTAATTTCATTTAAAGAACCCAGACCTTTGCAGACAAGGGTATTTATTAGGCAAAGACGGTGTCTCAGCCTAAAAACAGGTATACCTGGGAATGAAGTTTTACTCTGTCTCTCCATTCTAAGGCCTTGACCACATTTTGCGTTAGAGCCGAGTTAACAGATCCTAATTGTAGTTGAAATGTTAGCAAATATAGAGCAAAAAGGAATGCATTTTCTATGTGTGATAGGACTACAACATATAGGATTCTATTAATCAATCACTATTCCCCAAATAGGAAAGACACAAGTTTTTTATCACTCTATTTAAAATTTTCTTCTTCGTTATAGGGAGAAAGAAGAATCTGAATTTTAGAAGAGGCTAAAGAATTACTATACAGAAGGCCTTCTGTCCATGTTAGACGTTAGAGCTAGTTAGGTTTCTCTCAAAAATAAGTTAAGTTGCACAAGCAGGAATCAACACCTCAGAGGGGACTCAAGGGAACCCTTTCCTCAGGGCTTTATTTTTCACCATGGTAAATTTACTAATGAAGACTTGAGCAAAATGTGGATCAACCATGTAATGGTATGTTTTCACAGCGGAGGGGAGAGGTTCCACGGCCACCACAGGGCATGGTGTCTGCATGGAAGAACAGCTGGGGGCCAGGTGACAAGATGTCTTTGTGATGTAGTCCACAAGTCTGTTGTACTGTTGTTCTGACAGTCTCTCTCGGACTCCATCCACCTGGGATCCAAAAATAAAGATTCTTTAGTGGCCAAACCCTCAGAAGGAGACTTTTATAACAATACTATTTTTCTTTTGCCTTGATACACTTGTACATTATGCCTTTTACCTAATAAAGCCATTTTATCCAAAACAGTGCTGGCTTTTATTTTTCCTCTGAGTTGTGGCAGTGATAACTGCAATTTCAGCAGTATAACAAAAGCTCTGCGTGAGACTATTAGGACAGCCTCCTTTGAATAAGCATTTGGTGGTGTGCAGAAGTCCCATGTTTGAAGTTGATGATTTGATAACATTTTACTCAACTATTAAAACATCTGTCACTGCTCTTTACTAACCAGTGCAGGAACAAAGGAGAAAAGTGTCTTTCCTGTACTTAAATCTAATCAACATTAAACTCGGCACCTTGAAATAAAAGCTGTCTTTGCCTGTCTCCTCAAACCTTTTCAAGACAGAACCTCTTCAGTTTGATTGATAGAAAAAAAGTAGAGAAGAGCACTTTTTTCAAACCAGTGGCTCTGGACAGAGCATTAAAAAAATAAATACCTTTTGAACTGTAACATTTTCTGTTTTTATAAATACTAGGATTTAAAGCCAGAGAAAATAAAAAAACTGGGCAGAGGAAGGGGAAATTTTTATGGAAAAAAGGGAGGATGCAAAGTACATTTATGGTTCATAAAAGTCTGGCTCATCTTCAGTGGAGCTCAAATAGGAGAACTAAGATATACTACCTAAGTTCTTAAGTGAGATTTTCTGAGAAAGCACCCATCAAAGGCAGTTGGAGCTATAAATTCTTCCCACCGTGAAATTCTGTAGCTATCTAGTGTGTAGATCAAGTGGAGCGGGAAGTTCTAATGTAAGCCACTGATCTGTGCGAATCAGGTAGCCACTGACCTCGCAGCAGTCTTTACCTGCTAAATGTTGGCAAGACCACTCTGGAAGAAGTATAAACATTTTAACGAGTAGTAATATAAGGAATTTCTATGTATTTCTGTGTAGGGCACAGAAACAGTGCAGCCAAGAGTGTCTTAAAAGCTGTAGAAAGTCAGAGGGATGGTAAAGAGATGGTAAAGGGGTCTGCCAGAGGAATAAGGGCATCTGTTAGAGTTTGGGTCTCATAGTTTTAAGCTTGGGAAAGAAAATAAAGGCCCCCCGCCCCCCCAAAGATTCACGACAGATGAAAGCTGTGCACCACCAGGCAAAAGCCAGAGCTCTGATGATATCATTTGATGGGGTCAGGATTCAGCTGGAAAGCTTTGAATACACAGAAAGTCTTAATTGCTCCTCCTGAACAGCAGCACAGGAAAACCTGTGTTGTGAAAGGAACCTGGCCAAGGAATAAATTGACCTTCTGACTCATTTTGAGCCTCTCATAAGGGATTTCAGTAATGTGCCAGGCATATTAAGCAATTATTACCCTAAAAATGGCTGCATTTAAGCAAGAAAAGCAAATGCTCATTTTAAAAAATCTGAGTCCTGTCATATTTAAATATACTGAATGATGTCATCTACAAATTAATTCCTTTTAAAATTCAAAGGAGCTGTGTTTCCTAGCATCTAAAGCAAAAATCCAGGAAAGCCGTTTTATATAAAGATCTTAAAATACTGTTAGTTTTTCCTGGAAGACAGCAGGTAGGCTTCTTAACTCAGCTTTAAGTCGGAGGATTAGGTTGGTATACACTGACATGAGGACAGCAGTTGAGGAAAATTCACTGTGGCAAGCAGCATCCTTGAGCAACTTCCCTCTCCCCCATTTTGAAAATACATTGGATTACAACATTCTTAAGGATTTACTGTCTCACAGGAGCATTTTGTTCTGCAGCTTGGGTCTCCTTTGGGGTGAGTGGGGCAGGTTAGGGTTTGGACACAGGATTAAGGGGGCAGTTATTTCTTGTTTCTTAGGAGGAGTTGAGGAGAGAGGAATGGTGGAATAGATACAGAGAAAGGATTTGGAGGCTGAAGGCATACTGGTATATCAACCCTTTCTGTCCAGTACCAGGTGCTGCTGTGAAAGTTCAATATCTGTCTCTAATAGCTACCCTGCGGTTTTCCTGCTCTCAGTCATCTTTTCCTGCCTGCTTTAGTCATCCCTTATAATTCCAACAGTCTGTTATCCCTGAACACCACTGGAAAACCAGTGTTGAGCATGGTGTCCAGTCTGTCAGTGCTTCTGCCTCTAACTCAGGGATCCTATGGTCTCAATTAGCCTTGGCAACTTCTAGGTGTAGTGACTCCCGCTATCATCTTAATAACCCCTAGAGAAACTGACGTCTGTTCCCTTCCAGCTATGGTAATTCCCCACAGGACCCCCCTCAAACAGGAAAGCCAAAGAGAGAAGGATCACAATTGAAGACAGTGGAGACAGTTTAACAGCAAAAGATGAACCTCCAGTCTCAACGGTTTAAGACCTGAAATATTTCCCTAGCAGCTAAGGAATAACGATGGTCACAGATATTCCTCAGGGCCTTGGAAGTATCTCTAAGGACTAAGGACTTGAAGATAATGATAGTATCCCCTGCCAAATCCTGTAGCCAGGTCACCGCTGCTTTATTGTCAACTGGATCAGAAGGTTTCGGCAGATCTAATAGTCAGCCTGGACATCTGACCGCTGTTTATTCCCAGAAAGTCATCAAGTCGAAGCAGCAATGTAGTCTTAGTGCCAAGCCCCAGCTTAAAGCCTGACTGATTATGATCCAAGAAACTAGAGAAATCTCAGAGTTGTTGTGGTTGGCTGCCTTCCATCTTCTCAGATAATTTTACCCAAACAGTGGTGTGAGGGAGACACAGGCTCCTATAACCAGGAAGAAAAGAATGAAAGGAGGAATCGGGTGGGACCTGCTGGAGGCAGGTTTGCTGTCCTTTCTTGGGATCACTCAGTCCCCAGGTTAGGACCAGCAGGCTCCAGCTTGCCATCTGGGAAAAGATGTCTTTCTGAAGCCAACCCTTAGGGCTCCATGGATCAGGCAGGCAGTGAGGAGGGAGGGGCAGAGCAATTTTCCAGTGGGTACACCTGCTCACCCTGGTGGCATGCAGAAAGATGGTGCCACTCTTGTCAGGGCTCACCTCTGACCCCTGACGCCCAGTATGCCCCATCTGAGCATCCATTCCACATCAACTTGTGTGGCCAGGAGCCAGCAGCCAGCACATCTCAGGAGCCATGTGGCCAGGGAGCTGTCCCAAGAGCCTAAGCAGCATCCCCAGGAGGTGCCCCATGGTACTTAAGTGATGGGAACCTGTCCATGGGAAAGGGAACCTATACAGAGCCACACAGAATACAGAGCAATGGGTAAGAGAGAGATCTATTCACAAAACTTGGACCCCTGAAGTCTCAGGGGTTGGGAATGGCAGAGGGAGTGAGTGAGACCTCCTGGTTTGTGAACTTGCAAAGGTCCATCTTACTGCCTGTGCCTTGTTTCACTCATGACACCCTTCACTTCTATGGCGGTCCTCTCATGTACTCTCAGACTGCTGTAGCCACTCTCAGGCCACATGCAGACTTGGGCCCGCTTTGTGAGTAGTGGCATGGAACTGCTGCTCCGTCCTGGCCCTTCTTGTGCAGACCTACTTGTTTTGGAGCTGTGTTGTCCTATCCTGTCCTGTCTACTCTAGCACCACAGCCCCATGACGACCAAGCCTCGTTCAATTCATGGTGGCTTAGCCCCAGGCTGTGAGTCCATCTGGCTTACCGCTGGGCTCTCCTAATGAAAGTTTCATGTGAACACCTAGGTGGGCACTTCACAACCCCCTTATGCAATAGCCCCCTTGCCTCCCACACTCCTTTCTCTGGCAGACCTCCTGGTCTCTGCCAGTCCCTCCAGGGGCTGCAGGCTCATAAACGCCTGGCACTAGTGGTCAGCTTGCATCTCGACTTCACCAGCAGCTAGCCCTGGTCACCCCACTTTCTGAGACGTACCTCCACGTCACATGCCACTCTTGGCTGCTTGAGCTGTATGATGAGCAGGTTGTTTTGCTCGCTGTCCTGTGCACAGTCGATCTCCGTGATGGGGAAGGCCTGCTGCTGTGTGTCCTCGCTGATACTCACCACGAAGAGCACTTCTGACGTCAGCAGCAAGCACCCTTCATGCTCCTGGCCTGAGCCCCTCACCAGAATCACATCCAGGGCCATGTGGACTTCTGGTTTGCCCAGAGGCTGAAGCATTTTCCTGTTTCAAAGGAGAAAAGTGAGGCCAGGAGCCAGCTTGGAAAAGATGGTCACATATCAGTGCTCACTGCTTGTACCAAGGGGTGGGGCAATCCCACTCAAAGCTCCCCAAGGGCAATGGGCCCTCAACAATCTGATGATTAATTTCTGCTTGAAATGTAATGGTCACTTTAATTCTCAAACTGATTCTGTTCAATAGAACCCAGCTCTCTCTGGGGACAAAGATTTCCCTTGCCTCTGGTTAGCTCCTTTTCTTTCCATTAGAAATGTCACCCTTTATTAGAATGCTCGTTCCATGGAGAATCTCAGGCCCTCTCACAGGCCTGGGCTTCTCTGCCAATGTACATCCTTCCCTGAGTGGTACACGTGGGGCAAGGGAGTTCTGCTACCAGTCCCAGATCTGGGGATGGCAGCCTTCCCCTGGCTCTAGGATGCCCTTGTGCTGCCTGAGATGCTGAACATGGCTGCTCCTTTTGGGATCCCCTGGAAGCATGGCCCGTCAGCTTGAGAGCAAGCCAGGCCCTGTTAACATACAGTGTGCATGTACAGTTGAGCAACAGCTAGGTAATTTTACCAGACATATTTGACATGGCTATTCGGAGCCTGGTCAGCATGTAAGTCACGTGGCTGATAGCGCTGTTTGGGAAGCTGAGACAGTCCAGCTCCGTGTAAAATACCTGTGGTAAGAGAAGTAAGGGAGTTTTACTAGTTGTTTTCTGGAAAACAGTTCCATGCTATAGTGATGTCATCTGCTTAGAGCCATCCATAAAATGCTACAGATCCAAAAGGATGTCATGGGCTGGCCAGGTGGCGTAGTGGTTAAGTTCGCATGCTCTGCTTTGGCGACCCGGGGTTCGCAGGTTCGAATCCTGGGCATGGACCTATGCACTGCTCATCGAGCCATGCTGTGGCAGCGTCCCACACACAAAATGGAGGAGGATGAGCACAGATGTTAGCTCAGGGCTAATCTTCCTCAAGCAAAAAGCAGAAGATTGGCAACAGATGTTGCTCAGGGCCAATCTTCCTCACCAAAAACAAAAACAAAATAATGGCATATCTTTGGAAGCAAGTATATAGGTAATTATTAAACAGTGCAATGCTCTTAACCCTGATGATATTACTTTAGCTAAAAACTTAAATATGAATGACCTACAGTTCAAGCAAAGACTAGCAATTAGAAGAAGCATAATGCTCCTGGGAGTAATTGGTCTTGAGCAACAGCTTACGCATCATTTATAATTTATGTGATAAAAAAGTCAAGATTGTTAGTTGACTTCCTTGCTTAATACTACAATACTTCTGTTGTCTCTGCTGTGGCTGGTCAAATAATAAAAAATACAATACATACAGAAACACACAAAGGCACAAGGTTTGCCTAGATACAGAATTTAAGTGACTTAATCCAGCTGTTAAATATGAATCCGAATACAATTATGAGTGCTCCTGGGGCCTCTGGTTTATTACATGCTCTCCCTGGTGCCAGCACCAAATGAGGGCACCCAGCAGCAGCCATGCAGGCCTCCAGACTCTCCAGAACCAAAGATGGTACAGCATGTGTGCTTTCTGAGGGCTTGTAAATGTTTATAAAGGAGGCACCGTCATTAGACTAAGAGTTAGTGGTTTGTAAAACCTTCAGTGCGGTAATAAAAGTTTTACAAGAATGATGGAAACCAACAAGGCCATGTGAAGCTCTGTTCTGAGATGCTCTTACATAAGGGAGAGTTCCTCAGCCCTGGGAAACAGGGTAAGGGACAACGGCGTTTTCAAAACTAAAGAATTTATGAAGTATGAGTTGACTTTACCTCACTGGAGTCTATAGCAAAAGGAAGACTGTTTTTATTAATGTGTAAGCATTTGATAAGGGAGCATTTAACTTCATCCACTTACAAGTTACAGCAGTTCTTATTTAGTCCGTTTCCCTGTGAGTGAAAACGTCATTCAGAGAAGGAGAGAGAGACAGAAATAGGGAGGGAGGAGGCCAGGGGAAAAGCGAAGAGGAACACATGTTCGTGTCTGTGTGGTCTCTAATAACCTCTCCGGATGGTTGCTTGAGTGTGGGTTTTCATCTCCCGCTCTCTTCCTTTCAGATACTGTTTTTTATGCCTGATCTGGCTGCCTCTTGTCAGATCTGCTGAGGTGCAGGATGCCTGTAGTCAAATGTACCCCACAGATTTTATGGCCGGATGCCGAGTGCTCACGTGTCTGACAAACGAGAGAGCTCTCCTCTAAGTTTGTGATACTAGCTAGACAGCCTGCTTTGTGACCAAAATGATAACACTGATTTTAGGTAAAAAGGTAACAATTGCAGTTACCTGTTTATTAAAAGTCACTTTAACGTGCTCTGCCAAGAATGCAGAAAATAAGCGTGGGAGGAGGTGCTTCCTTTCGTATGCAGCCATTACTCCTGTGCACATGCATGCATGGGGAGAGGCCCTGGCACTCCACTACCCAAGTGCAAGAGTGCCACGAGTCCAGTGCTCCCCAGCTGTCTGCTTGGGGAAGGGGTTTTCAGTTGCAGATCATACACCTTTGCTGCTAGTGGCCAGGATGCTCGGCCTGGCTGCAACAGCAGCATGGAGTCTGCAGGTGAGAAAGCCACGCCAAACGCAAAGCTGTGTTGGCAGTGTGTGCACACCCACATACATGCACACATGTGCACACACACACGCATGCTCCTCTCTCTCTCATTCTCCAAATACATACACATTTTCATTTAAAGATATCTTCCAGCCTTACAACCTCATTTTCCTTTCAAATTGCTCACCAGAAAAAGCAGTAATTCTATTCTCTGCTTCAATATAGTCTACATATTGCCCTCAACCTCTAACAGGTTACTTTTCATTAAAGTCTATTATTAAATGTACTGTAAAAAGATTCTGACATACATATACTGAAATTACTAATTGATTTCCTGGTTCTATAATTTTATTATTATAATTTATTATTAGTAGTACAATTCTACTTTCTGTGTGAATAAGCATAAGGAGGTAAGAAAGATAGCTATTTATCTATGGATTTATCCATTTTATTTTTCACTCTTTTGCCAAGTGAAGGGCTAGATTATCTTTGGGAATCCTTGGTATAATAACGCAAATTAATTGGTGATGCTGAGTTGGCCTGACAGGTTTCCACCGACTCACCGTAGCCAGTCTGTGACACAAGCTCGGCAGCTCCTCCGATGGGCTTTGTGAACACCCCCATGATTCCTTTCCCAACGCCCGAGATAACACCCTTGGCCTTGTGTCCTGCTGAAGCATGAGCCTCAGATGTTTTCTGGAAGTTTTGCATTGGCTGATCGACTATACCAGCAATTGCACCTGAAAAACAAAAAACCCCAGTAAGGACCGAGGCTTAAAATCCTGAGAAAGTGAAAACCTTCAATCTGGGACACAGTTTTGTTTGAATTGAAAATGAAACCCCACCCTCATTATAAAGTTCTTTACTATACATTTATTTACCAATTATCTAAGTACATTGAGAGCTCTTTAATGCAGACATTTATCATCATCATCAAAACACAGTATTCAGAGTGGGTTTGGTCCATCACAGTTAGGATCTGTGAACTTCAGCTCAGAATTTAGTAAACATGTCAGACTACTCCAAAGTGACACCCACATGCCTTTCACCAGAAACCAGGCAACACAGTTTAGAAAAGAGAGCTAACAACTCCTTAGGAGGAGAGTGACCCTGCGCAGCCCAATAAATTTTCACTGAATCAGGAGGATGAAAATACTGTAAGGGCCCAGCCCTTTTCTGAGTTCTCTCTTTTAGTAATAATAAGAGTAATAATTTAATAACAATTTAATATTAACATATTATTTAATAATAAGAGTGGTGATATAGTAATTATTATTTCTATTATAGCTAATCTATTTTGAGTGGTTACTATGTGCTGGGAACTGTGCTAAGAGCTTTACCTGTATGAGATCATTAATCCTCATAATCCTAGGAGTCAGGCATGATTTTTATCCTTAGTTCCTAGATAAGGCCACTGAGGCACCGAGAGATTAAGGAGTTTTCCCCAAGGTCACAAAGCTGTCCTGTGCTTGAGCCAGGATTTCAGTCAAGGGAGTTGCAGTCACAGCCTAGTTCTTAACTGCCAAGCTATTCACTGATCCTGGTTATAAAACAGGCTCTTCCCTTTGCCAGTCTTGGAAAAACTTGCTTCTCTCTCTCTTCAACTACAGTTTGGCCACTGACTCTTCACTTTAGAACAGCTACAAACCCCTGCTCTCACTACTCTCTGCTCTAATGGCTTTCCCTCGGAGAAGCCAGGTCATATACTGAGTGGAGGGTGAATCCCTTAGCCTCTTTTGTGGGTCCATCTTGCTTGCTCCTCTCACTCTGAGGGGCCAATGATGAGATCTAGCAAAGGCCTCACCAGTCCCGATTTTTTTTTCATGATGGAGTAAGAGGTTCCCTAACTCAGTAAGAGGTACAAATTTCATTACAATTTTTGACAGAATTCTCTGTTTTCAACTCCAACCTGCTAGGATTAATGAAAATGCACAGTCCCCCTGGTAGAAATTTTAGTACATGTCAAATCCCATTATTCCAAATGCCACTAATTCAAAGTCTTTTGGGTAAATGGAGATTTCCAGGTCTCAGTTAATGACCTGCTAATTTCAAGCAATATTCCATTGAACAAAATCCAGTAAAACAAAAGGCCAGTTCCTTCAGATCAATTGTAAAGGGAATGCTCTTCAAGGATTCCATTCCTCTAAATTTGACAGAGCCATTTAAATTTCTGTATTGACAGATTAAGAATGACCTGAGGCAACAGGTCTGTTTCCCAGCCTAGACCAACCCTTCCCAAACCTAAAGAAATGATGCAGGCAGCAGAGGAAGCTGCTCACAGCTGGCCCTGGCGCCCTGGCTATTGAGGGCCGAGGGATCGGGACACCGAGTCTTGGCACTCAGGCTGGGGAGCTCCCCTCACGTTTCCAGTCTGAGGAATCTGATGCTCTGCTCTCCCCCATCTATGAGGTCGGGAGAGCAGCAGAAAAGTATTAACGGAACCAGCCACACGGGGGTGATGGCCACCATCAGTGCTTGAGAGAGGCAAGAACCTTGGTGTCTTCTCTACAAATCATTTCATAGCAGACATAAGTCAGACAGTTCAAAGGGAATAGCATCAAATCAAAGAATAAAGCTTTTATGATTTCATTATCTGATTTCTTTGAAAGGTCTCCCTCCATGCTTAAGAGTAGAAAAACTGGGGTAAATAATTACAAATTCACCAATAAATTACATATTGCCCGTGTTTCTGGTAGAAATGTCTTTCTCAAGCGCAGATTTCTATTGAGACTATTAAAATTGCGTTGGGGGGGGGGCAGGTGGTTACTTCTTTGAGAATCTCCCATTTCCCTTTAATGTGCCAGGCCTAACCTGACAAGGAATACGGAGCCTCGACAGCAGTGACTATCCACACGGGGCTCCAACTTCTATCTGCCTGAGTACAAACAGGTATCGCAGTGAAACTCCCCTTTGATCTTCCACTTTCTCCAGCCACTGGCCACAGTGAAGGCTCAGTTACCGTGGCTTTGATAGATAAACTCTTTGGGCAGCCTGAAAAGTGGAAACCCTGAACCCCATGAGAAGGTGTCAGATTCTAAGAGGGAGAGAAGGAACTGTCAGATCACACGCCCTCGCCCATACCAGACCCTGGAGGGGGAAAGCAGGCCCGTCACACACACCGACACCTCACTGGTCACCAGGTGTGAGCTGGGGACAGAGAGGCTGTGCGAGACTAGCAGCCATTTCATGGTGTCTGCAGCCGTGCCTTGAGAGAGGCAGCTCCTTTCAGGGCTTCAGAAGACTTTCTTATTAAGTATAATCCAGCTAAATCCCACAACTGGTAAATTATTTACTGTCATATACTCAAACTCTGCTCTAAGGCTTTAAGCAGTGGAAACTGATCCCCAAACTAGTCTGTTGGCGTCAGGCCCACAGGGTGGGCGGCCACATGGAGACGGCTGTGATGTGATGAAGTGAGGCAGGAAGGAAGAGCGTGCCTCGGAGGGGAGTTTCCATGGACTCTATGTGTGCTGGGTGAAGGAGAAATTGGGGAGGTGTTTCCCTTTCTGCCCTTTCGTTGAGGAGGAGGGCTTTCTTTGTGAAGCAAGGGAACTAGAAGGGCCTTCCCTCACCTCTTCTGAGACTTGCTCCCCAGCCTCAGGCAAAAAACACTGGGGTACTGATCTGTGAAAGTTCCCGCCTGGGTGGCTCTTTTGGTCCTGCCCTGACCACACAGTGTGAGTTTATTTGGGGCAGTTTTTTTTTTATCATAATAGCAGAGGCACAGGCCTTAAGCTGGCAACCACTCCAGGGCTCAGCATTCCAGAGACAAAGGAGACCCACAGAGTATATCAGGTATTCCAGCGTGAGGCTAGCTTTGTTCGATCAGAACAGACTAGCAGGCACTCGGCGGCGGCTACTTCGCAGACCCATCTCCACTGGCTCGCGCGCCTCACTCCGCTTCCTCTGCAACCATGTCTGACAAACCCGATATGGCTGAGATTGAGAAATTCGATAAGTCCAAATTGAAGAAGACAGAAACGCAAGAGAAAAATCCACTGCCTTCAAAAGAAACGATTGAACAGGAGAAGCAAGCAGGCGAATCGTAATGAGGCGTGCGCCGCCAATATGCACTGTACATTCCACAAGCATTGCCTTCTTATTTTACTTCTTTTAGCTGTTTAACTTCGTAAGATGCAAAGAAGTTGGATCAAGTTTAAATGACTGTGCTGCCCCTTTTCACATCAAAGAAGCGAGAACTACTGACAACGAAGGCCTTGCCTGCCTCTCCCATCTGCCTGTCTGGCTGGCAGGGAAGGAAAAGAACTTGCATGTTGGTGAAGGCAGAAGCTAGGGGGACGACAGTGAACTCTAGAGGAAAGCCAAGCTGGTCCAAGGTGTCCTGCAGGCTGTAAATGCAGTTTAATCAGAGTGCCATTTTTTTGTTCAAATGATTTTAATTATTGGAATGCACAATTTTTTTAATATGCAAATAAAATGTTTTAAAACCTGAAAAAAAAAAAAAGAACAGATTAGCAAAAATATTAGGAAGCACTTCTTTTATTCCTAGATGCCCTACTAACTGCAAACCATTCTGCTAATGGCTGCAAGTGGTATCAGGGGGCCTACTCATAGCTCTTCACTCACTCACTTGAGGGAAACCATCCTGATTCACCTGGCAGAGGCCTCTTTTGTTAGGATTTCGAATGGCATACCAAGAGTGGCCGTAAAGACAGAGGGTGTGGCTGCTGGGAAATCTAGCAATGCTTCATAAGTCAGGCAGCAGCCCAAAAGAAGCGTGGGTCAGAGAAGCAAGTTCTGACATCCTGCCTTTGGTATTCACGAGAGAGAAGTCATGTCTGGCAGGGAACGTGGACTGTAGCCGTGACTCAGAGCTCATATCCTCTCTCAGCACAGACTCAGGGTGTAGAGAAAGTGGGGGTGTTTGGGGAATGGACCTGGTAAATGTGGGCAAGGCTGATTCCAATTCTGCAGGCTAAACAGAATTTTTCCAAAAGCGATTGCTTTCCAAAAACTGTTGTGGAGCTCATCCAAGAGCCTCGGGGGCATCTCTGCCAGCCGACACTTCTCCTCGCTGACCTGAGGTGTTGTGGCTGGGGATGGCAGCTAAAGACTTCCTTTGATTTTTCAAGTGCCTCATAACACTCCATGGTGTCCCCATGAGGGCCAAGCAGAGGCAAGAAGGCCCCCCAAACCCATAAACATTTGGGGGACATGTGTTTTTCCTACTCTGGAACTTTCAATTGTTCAGTCTCCCCACATCCTGATTGTTTCCAGGCTTGGAGCCCTCCAGGGTGGGTGACATGTGGAGAGGTCCAGGATCTTGTCCTGGCTGGAAGTCTGACCTGGGCAAGTCACTTAACCTCATCCATGCCTAGAGTTTGAAAATCAAATAAGATGACACATGTGAAAGTACTTTGTCAACCTGAAATGTTCTTTAAATATATTTTTACTAACTGAGTCGTTAATGTTTCTTTCTTGTAAAGAAAGGAACTGAGGAACTAGCATTTTGATTTCACTAAGCATGGGTTTCAAACTATTGTATGTTAATAGCTCTAACTTCAGTTAGGCACTTAACTGCATTTAGCGGTTTTAAACACCATTTCTGGGGGATGGATTAAATGGTGATGAATCTGTACTTTCCCAGATGAGGGGACTTGGTTGGTCCTACTCCTCCTCTCTTCTTCCTGCCACATATCAGGTAGTTCTAGGACCAGGCATTTGAGATGACCCAGTGATGATGTGGGATATAGACAGTTCTTGAACTCTTAGAGGAAAGGAAGCTGGTTTAGGCCAACCTTAGTCCAAGGATCACAGAAATGGACATGCTGCTCAGGTGTGCTGCTGGGATGGCACTCCTGAGGGCCCAGGGACAGGCCAGTGTCCGCAGGTGCAATCAGTACACACTGAGGAGGGATTAATGTCACCCCCAAAACTCCTAGGTTTTTGGAAACTGCCAGAGATGCAGAAAGACTCTGAGAACTCAATGCAGTTTCCACAGACAGACTAAATGATTCCCTTGCATGGGTGAGGATGTACAAGACACAATGACTGTACCAAAGATCAAAGCTCTATGACTGTCTACCCTGGTTAACAACAGGAGTCATGCTCAAAAGGGCGACATCACAAAGGCAGAATCACGGCTCCTCACATAACTGATTTCTACTATCAGGCACAATTTGATACAGTGGAAACTGGGTAGTGGGTGTGGGCTTTTCTGGGTAGGAGGAGAACTGGTTAGTCAGGATGGAAACAGCCACATGCCAGCCAGCTCAGGTCTCCTCTGCTGAGCACCTGTAAGCTCCAAGAAGAGCTTGGATGGAGGGGAGGAAGCTCTCCTGCCCAGGGTGGAGGGCATGTAAGCTCACAATTCTGAGCAAAAAGAGGTTCCACAGTCTCCAGTGACGTAAGGTCCCCAAGATAACCTCATTGTCGCTTGCTGCAGTTATAGCAACTTAACCCATTGGACTAAAACAGAAGCAAAAATGCTCCTGCCATTGCTCACACGTCTCTCTTTGCTGGGACACTCTTTGAAAGCAGGGAACTCCTACAGTTCCTTTGCTCCCCTAATATAATAACGAGAGGTGCTGTTTACCGAACATGGACGCTATGCCTGGCACACTACCGACCATCATTACTTTGAATAATGGTATCACCAGCTCCAGTTTACAAAAGAGAAACCTAGCTTCAGAGAAGAACTTGCCTGAGGTCACAAAGAAAGGACCTGGACACTCTAGCCTGTGGTCTGCTGGCTCCTGAGGAATGTGGCCCCCTCAATACCTCCTTCCCCAGAGCAGTCACCATTGCTTTGGAGTTTGTTCCTTTACCCAGCAGTTCCATCCCAGGTCAGTAGGCTCCCAGTTTCCACGTGTTAGCAAATGACAGTGCCCCACACCACTGAATGTTATGACAAACAATTTCTAGTAACTTAATGTGAACTTGTAATATCTTACTACTTCCTCTCAGAGCCTCAGCTGGCTGCTCTGCGAGTTGAAGGGTTGTGTATAGAACTGCAGACTGGAGAGAGGACAAATCCTTTCAAGCTGACCTTTGCTCTCTCTGCTTTGGGGCACTTTGATCTCTGAGAGATGCATACTCCTTCAGATGCTCGGCAGGCATGCTGCCAAGCAATACAGTTTTAAATTCCTTTGCAAACAAATAAACAAAAGATACCCTTGAAAACCCTGCTCTGCAAAATTTCAGCTCTGAAGCTTCCTTTTTATAGATTTTTCCAAAGCAACTTATTTTTTAAACATTTGTAATATTTGGAAATATCCATAGCAATCTTCACCTCTAACTATACTATCTGGCTGCACGACAAATGCTAACTACTCTGAGTCAAGCTGATCTGGCACTCTTAAAAAAGGAAAAGGAAAAAGTGGGCTCCTAAATGAAGTTGACGTGACATTTGCACGTTGCTCAGGCGCTTCTCAAACAAAAGCACTGGGCCGCAGCGTCTGTGGTAGTGAAGGAGCAAAGGCTGCGGAAGGTGTGCCGGTTACTCACGGCAACAAGCAAACAGCTGTGTACCGTTGCCTCGTGTTGACACCCCACACTCAGGGGTCTTCCTACGGAATGATACCATTTTAGAGAGCCATGCTGAGGCCAGAGAAACGTTTTATACTAGAAGCAATGGAAGGCGGAACACAGGCATCTGTGCAGGTGAACCTCCTACCGGGCTGCTCTCGGGATGGCCCCTGTCACAGCCGCACAGTGGCTCTGGAAGGGGGGTCCTGTTCCAGTGCCTCATGGATCAGGAACCAGAGCGACTGCCTGGTCCTCAGCTTCGTCTGCAGAAAGAATGTAAACTTCACAACCACCCCGTGCTGGGAGCCTGCACACCCTGGCCTGCCCACAGAGCTGGAGCGCAGACAGACGTGAGTGCTCGGGTCCCCGGCAGCCCCTTACCGAGCAGGCTGATGCCCAGCCGGGACAGGCCCTGTCGGAGGCCCTCGCCCAGGCTCTTGGGGAGCTGCCGCCGCCACTCCTCCTGCCGGTTGTAGTGCTCCTCATCCAGAGAGAGCCGGTCCATGTTCCGGGCCAGGCTTGTGGCCAAGTTGGTGATGGAGGTGAGGGTACCTGAGGGCACAAGACACATGGGTGGGTTGGCCTCCTGGTCACATACACAGTGGACCCCAGGGGAGTGAGCCCTGGGGGGCTGTGGTGAGGGGAGTGGGTGGGGGAAGCCCACCTGTGCCTCCTGCACATGCCTAGGTGGTGAGTGATGGTGGCTTCCTCTTGGGAAGTTTGAAGCAACAGCCTTAAGAAAATGAGGTGAAGATTAACACTTGCTTATGAGGGTGATGGCACTCCTCAAAAGGGGTAGGACAAGAATCTCTGTCACCAGAAAAATGCCTAGAGTTTCATATGAAACTATCGTTCACTATCATTTGATTGTCAAGGCTTGGCTAAAACAGTTAGTTTTGAAATCCTTACTGAGGCCTAGTTTTGAAGGTTAAAATTTTCCTGCTCTGATTTTAAAGGTTAAGGTTATATTGCTGAATTTTAGACAGATTGTAAAGAAATGTTTCCACTTTAGGAATAAAATTTATTCCCTTCTTATTACTCCAGTCATAGTAAAGGGAGACACTAAACTTTATCATTTGACATTGAGAAAATAATTATTGTGTCACAAACACCACATGCAATTTTAATATTCAGGATGTTAACTGAAAAAAGTGAGGGCAATAAAGGGAATAAATCATGAGAATGCCATGATTCCGTCTGGTTTTCCTAAGAATGGCTATTTCAGCATTGTGCTCAAAATAGTCATAATCCCCTCTAGCAAGTCTGCAGAGATCTCAATGAAGCAAAACCGAAAGAATGCAACGGACACATCCTGAAGCTAACACATTAGCTCATCTGTTACTGGAGGTCTAGTTTCAAGAAGAGATGGTAGATGTCATTTTTGCAGCTGCATCTTTACCAGTAATCTAAAAAAAAACAAAATCCATGCACACACACACAGACACCAACAAACCAAAGAGATTTTGCTAAGAGACGCAGAGAACAAGTGTAAAAAACATTCAGTGAGTCAGTGCGCTAAAATTACCACTGGAGTTCAATTTAACAGGTGTTGGTTGTCTTATTTTAAAATAAAAACAACAGAACCACAAAGATTCAAGTGTCAAGAGTGAGAAATCCACCAGTGACTCATCTGAGTTCCTGCAGCTCAGCTCACAGGCCTCCCGGATGACTGGGGCTTGGGGGAGAGGTCCTGTCATTGTCCACAGAATGCTGTTCTCTTGCCAGCCCCCATCTATGGATCATGGGTTCTCATATTTCAAGCTCAAGTCTTCTTTTGAGCCTTCTAGAGACTTCTATAACCTGCCCACTCATAACCGAGTTGCAGCACTGTTGACAGTAAAAAGCCTTTTATGGGGGAAATGCCCTTTGCCCTGTTTTCCCTGCCTCCTGCTGAGAAGAAAAAGGGACTCAGATGGCCCTTGTTAGTTCCCAAGTCACTGCCAACCCGACCAAAATATCTTCAAGCAAATACACAGATAAAAACGAAAACATTCTCCTTCTTGCGGGCAGCAGTTTGGCTTCTGTGCCTGATGACCCAGCTGGGCCACAAGATGGCACTGTTTACGTGGCGTGCTACAGGCAAGTTGGCTGTTTCACCTCCATCTCGGCTTGCATGTCAAAATATATCCATATCCTCACAAAAGTTATGACAACTGTATCTACATTAAAACAATATATGATGAGGCAACACAGTGTAGGATTTCTGATGTTTAGCAGAAGTCCCGAACACCTTTAATATTTCTGTATTTATCACATGGAATAACAGTTGAGCCAATCCTTGTTTTCCCAATGGGAGGTTTAAAATTCTGAAGTTTCTGAAACATTTTCACACACTACAGGCAAGGAGTGATCTGTTTAAAACATAAGACATTATATATGAGCTTTGTTACAAATCCAACATTTCAGTGCAATTGAGCCAAACAAAGCTCAAGGCAAACTTAACGCATTTAAAACTTTAACACATTCTTAAATAAAAAATAAGACAGGAAAAAACGAAAATAAGGCACTATTACAAGGAAACAAAATAGCTACCTTTGGAAATGTGCTTTACAAATGATGTTGTCCCTCTGGAAACTCCACTCACAAAGGCTCCTGGGCCTCGGGTCAACCCCTCATACGGAAGCCTGAAGAAGTCGGCGATCCCGTTCCCGATGCTTCGCACCAAACTTGCTGGGCTGCCGAGGATTTCCAGAGATCCAACCACCCAGCCTGTAACGGACCAAAGGGAAGGGGTTACTGAAACGTGAAATATGGCACTTTCAACATTTGGGAAAAGTGACCCATTTTTCCTGCAATTCATTTTTCACACTAGAATTGAGAATGTAATAAGCTTCTTTGGAGCAAAATATGGGAAATAACTCATTCACTGTGAATTCATAAACGGCAAACTTTCATACTTTATAAATCAAAGTGATCCTTTTGGCAGCCTCACAAATAGCTTTAATATGATTTCCCTGCCTGGCCTCCCGTATTCCTGCTAAAAGGGACCCGTGCAGGGGGACACACGCTCCCATAAGCCCAAGGAAAGCTGGTGCCTTAGGCGGCAGGTGTTTGCAGGCTGGGAAGTTATCCTTAAAACCTCCTTGGGGCAGTGGAGGCACCAGGGTGAGGAGCAGATGCCTGGTCAGGGGAGGAGGCCAGATGCTAAATGGGGTGTTGCAAAGGGGATGCAAAGTTCTGACAAGGATGGAGGAGTTATTTTTAATCTTTCCCAATCCTACCAAATTGAGTGCTTCCCTTTGGAGCAGAGCTGGAGCCAGACAAATGTCTCCCCCTCAACCCCAGTTTCAGTTGTATAAACACTGGTGACATGGACATACTGATTAGGTTAGCGAGAGGGGAGTGTTCCCTGTGAATGTCCCAGGAGGGGAGCTTGGATCTGGTTTCCTACTTGAGCTGGCGCTTGCCAGTAGCTGGCCTGCTCAGTGGCCTGATTGCCGTGTGCACTGCCTCTTGGGAACGTGGCTGTGGTGTGGACTCCAGCAGTGGCTTCCCTTCACCTTCCTCCCCAGGGTAAGGGCTTGGGGCTCTCGGGCCAGAGGGCTGGAGGTACAGGCAAGAGCCAAGGGCTAAGGAGAGGAGGATTGTGAACAGGCGACTTCCTCCTGGAACCCACTGACCTGTCCAGCCTGGGGCTGAGAGCACTCTAATGGGGAGGCCATGGGGACAGGACCCATGTGGGAGCCAACCCTCCCTCACCAGCAGGTTCTTGCACTACAGGCCTATGACAGAGATCCCCAGTCAAGTCACCGATTCCAGGGGACTGGGAAGGTATGGGTGCAAGAGGCAAGCCAGGGCCCTAAAGGTTCCCAGGCCCAACCTTTTAGGGAGAGACATTCTCAAATTTTGAGCCCACTTCCCTTCTCTGATAGGATGATATCATCATTAGGCTGATAACACTAGGGTTTAGAGTAAAAGAGGGAATAACTTCCAGAAGAGGAATATTATAAATGGGAGGGCCTATGGGTGCCAGGCATTCAACTCATTTAATTGTCACAGCGACTGTGCAAGAGAAGTACTATTACCTCCCTTCAAATAAATTCAGATTAGCTAATGACTGAGCCCCTCCCTGGGGTCAGGGGCTGTACCAGGCACAGGGGACAGGCGAATCTGACATGGTGTTAGCCTGTCTCCACCATCTCGCAGGCAGGCAGGTGGGCAGGCAGGAGGAAACTGTAGCTCAGAGATTAAGTCAATTGCTCACCATCTCCCTGCCAGTCAGGACATGTGGGCTGGGTTTCCAACCCAGGTTTACTTGATTCTAAAGCTACCCTCCATCTTTTCTGTGAGTCCAGGCTGCAACAAGTAGGCAGAGCAGCCTGGAAGGTTGCGGGATATTCTTCCTTGGAGGACTCTCTCTGGAGGTAAAGAAATAGCAGATTCCCTTAAGCCTGAAATAGTTGTAAGGTTTGCCTGGAGGCAGAAGGTTGGTCTAGAAACATCTCAATTCCCTTTCGTTCCAAAGATTCCACATAGAGATAAAGAGAGAAGAGTAAGCTATTGCCAAGCAAAGACCACTCTACAATGGGCCCATTCAGGCAGAATGAGCGGAAACCACCCAGCCTGGCCACACGAGGGGGCGGTTAGGATCTCCTGGCTTAGGACCTCTGCCTGATGTGAGGGCTATGTGGGGACCAGAGCTACTTCTCAGTGGCATCTGAGCTGGCCAGAAAAGGGCCTAAAGTATCTGAGGGCACTCCTTCTTTAATTATTTTCCTCCAAAAGCAATATATCTTTGCTTACTTCTTTGGAAATTTAGTTGAAAAAGGGCGTCTGCCTGACTTCCCATCACACTGAGACTTGTGGGCAGAGAGGGACCCCAGAAAATTATAAAGCCCTCATTCTTTTGTTTAAATAGCATTAGTTCCTCATGTCTAATTACTTTACTGTTTCTTTATTTTTAAAACCTCTTCAAGGGGCCGGCCCCGTGGCGTAGCGGTTAAGTGTGCGCTCCACTGCTGGTGGCCCGGGTTCGGATCCCGGGCGCGCACCGACACATTGCTTGTCAAGCCATGCTGTGGTGGCGTCCCATGTAAAGTGGAGGAAGATGGGCACGGATGTTAGCTCAGGGCTGATCTTCCTCACAAAAAAAGTATACATAAATAAAACCTCTTCAAGGTGACTCCACAAACTTCCCTAGAAATGAGGTCAGGGTATTTTGAGCATCCCAATCAGGAAGCTTGTAACCAAGTCCAGTGGGTGCATCCTACATGCACATGAGATGCAGATGCCATTGATTACTCCCAGGCCAGCTGTCTCTCTTTCTCCGCCAGAATGCTAGTACGTTCTCTTTAAGACTTTTCTTCCCTGGGGGGTTGGTAACCTCCTACCATCTTCCCATTTCCAACTTTTTCAATCACTGCTTTCCTCCAGATAATCTTCAGATTGTCCATAGATATTTAGTGACAGAATTCCCAACAGGCTCTAAAAACTTGGCCCTCTATATTAGAATTTCTTGTCTCAGCATATAATGAAGTTGGGACAACAGCTTAGAAGATTTTTAGGTGGATTACAAAAAATACAAACAGAATGTTCTTGTGAAACCTCATTAAAAACATAAAACAAAACAAAGAAAGATGGTTTTTAGCACACAGGCTGTAGGGGTATGGTTCCTTGGTGCCACAGTTGGAGTTTCTCTGCCAGCTCATTACACAGATGGGTGCTCCCCACACCTCAGCGTTCTGTGGTGCCAGGTGGGAGGGAGGCCTCTTCCTTTCCAGGCCCCAGATCAGTAACCCACACACCTGCTTCTCATGTTAAAAGAAAAAACTGCCTGAAAGGGTAAGTTTCTGGAGTTGTTTATAAATATACCCATCTATTAAATGTGAAATGTTAGCTGCTTATTTTTAAATGATTTCTTAGGAAGAAGGAAATATTTTCTTCGTTGTTGTGCAAGCTATCAAAACAGTTCTTGCAGGGTCCTCCCCAAATTTTGTCATTTTCACTTAATGTGTTCGGGTAGCCCTATTAATAACTCTATGAATTTCAATAGGGAGAAAATGTAATCTTACCAGCATGACAACAACATGGGTCACTTACTGCTACAATGTTAATCATATATGGGAATGCATTCACCAAGTACAAGGTTACAAAGGTTCTCTCCTTTTACTTGCAGAAAGTAAGACTTGTTCTTGACCAGAAAGGGCCCATAGGACCAACTCTGGCTGGTGTTTGTTGCTTGAATTCATGGGAACTTGAGGAGCTGCATTATCAAACTGAAACTGCCTTAGAGTGAATTTAGGTCAGGAACGCGTTTTTTGAATCCAGTTACCATAGAGTATTCTGAGACAACTCGGTCCTCAACACTCAACCTTTAGCACACAGTACTCCCCATACAGCATTCTGCACACATATTCAAGCCACCCCCTGCAGACTTTTCCAGCTCGGGGCTGTGAAGAGGCTGAGACACCGACAGCCTTCTCTTTGCGATCTGTCTAGACAGGCAGGGCTGCACTGGGTAGGTAGAAGGCTCTTTATGCATCTTATGAGCACACAAATCCTCTGAATTTCTCACCTACAGCTATTCATGGACTGTAATGAAGAAAGCTAACAACCTAGAACTGGATTTCTTTTAGGCCCGGGGGCTGAGGGCCTGGGCTGGTTTTCCTGGCTGCACTAGAGAGCTAACATAGAGCCTTGTACCTGCAAGGAGCTAAAGAAGTGTTTGCTAAATGGAATTAAAATTCTAAGTTATATAACAGTGAATATAACAGCTACTATTGCTTGGCTATTCATTAAGTGCCAAGCAAAATGCAGGGTACTTTACATACTTTCATTTCATCTTTCCAAAAATCTTAAAACCCATTTAATAGATAAGGAAACTGAGATGTAGGGGGGTGCAGCAACTCACCCTAGGCCTTATAGCCAGCAGTGGCAGAGCCTAGATTTAAATCCACTGCTGTCTAACCACAAAGCCCATGCTCTTCGCCTCTCACCATATTGCTCCCCTTACGTATTGAAATCGATAAGGCACCACCCCAAAGCACTTCCATTTTGCCCAGGCCCTAGCTCATCACAGCTTGTGTCCTCACCTGCTCTGAAGAGCGCCCCAGCAGCATAGTGCATCGCCAGGGCATGGACGAGCTGCCTGGCCGTGGTGAAGATGGGGCCTCTTTCAAACACTGAGAAGGAGAGCGGAGTGTGGTCGGAGGCTATGTACAGCTTGAGAGAGGCGTGGATGCTGACGAGGAGATTCACCGGCTCTATCACCAGCTTCCGTAACTTCACAGGATTCACCAAGGCCCTGGCGTGCTGTCTGACCTGCACGGGCAACACCTGTTTACCACCTGAGACCATCGTGGGGTGACTGGCCAGGTTGCTGTTAGGAAGGTACGTCTCAAACAAAGTTTTGATGTAGTATACAAATGTATCTTCCACATATAACCGGGCAGGTTTCAATTCAAAACTGAACTCATTAATATCAAATAAGCTCTTGCTCTCCGTTAAGGTGAGGCAAAGTCTGATAAAACAATTTTCCTTATATTCTTCCAAATCTTTGCTGGATACAAGGAGACTTTGCATTTTGGAACACTGAGTAGGTTCTGTTTTTTCTCCCTGGCAGACCAAGACAGCAAAGTGGAAATTGGACTTGTTATACAGCTGGTTGTCTAACTGCAGGTCCCCACAGTAGACCTCCACACCGTAAAGCTGAAAGACGGCTGCAGCCGTCTCTTCCCCGAGGAGGGGACCAGCCACTGGGGCCATTTGGAGGAAAACATTGTCCAGCGTGAGTCTCAGAAGTTCAGATGCTGCTTTGTGGTGGGTGAGGTCATCAAACACCGCCAGGCTCAACTGAGTGACGAACATTTTAAATGTCACAGTCTTCTCCAAAGTTCTAGAGAAGAAAGGGAAAAGAGCATTAGTCTCCCCCGACTTTTCTTTGTTTCTTTTAATGACAATGCCTTACTGAACACCTCCTGATGTCCCATTGGATTCTTATAGGAAACAAATAAGAACTCAACTTTCAGTACATCGTGTCTGGACAGAGACGGTCAGTATTGGGAAATGTTCCCAATGGGACTGTTACAAGTTCTTGTCATGTTTCTGTGTTTCCCTTACCAACACTAGATTTTTACTGCAAAATCCCTCTAGTCTTTGTGCACTAATTCTCTATTGTTATCATCACAGGGCAGAAAGACATAATAAATAACCAAGACTCCTTAATTTGAAGAAGTAAAGCAAGTGCAAGAAAATTACCACGAACTCCTACCACAATGGTCCATCTACCAGCGTCTCAGCCCGTGTGCTCCCCTCTCTCCACCATTTCTAGGGCTCAGCTGCCCGTGCTCCCGTTTCTGTGAACCCTTCTACTGTGCGCTAAAGCACTCTGCTTTCACCTCCTCAAGGTCATCATTCCAGCAACTCACCCCTCTTCTACATCATTATTGTTTCATCATTACTAGCAGCTTATAAACATGCTGTTATTGCTCCTACTTAAAAAATCGCTCTCGTAACTCCCCTTTGTCCTCTAGCTACCACTCATTTTTCTGATCCCCTTTACATAAAAACTCCAAAGCATTTTCTAAACACATTGTCTCCTATTCCTCTCCTTTCATTCCCTCCTAACCTTGCTCCAAGCAGGCTTCTGCCCCCACCAGTTTACCAAAGCAACTCTGGTCAAGGCCACCAGTGACTTCCACGTGGCTAAATCAAATAACAGACTTGCAGTTTGTGGCTCACCTGATCTACAATGGCATCTGACGTTGTCGATAACTCTCTCCTCCTGGAAACATTTTCTTTACATCCTTTCTCTCAGCTCTTCTACCTCTGGTCACTCATCCTCAGTCACCTATGCATCTCCCTCCTCTTCTCCCAGACCTCTTAAAGTTAAGGTGCTCAAGGCTCAGCCCTTGGTTCTCTTCTCTTCCCATCTCCACTCATTCTGTTTGGAGATCTCCTTCAGTCTCATGGTTTGACATGCCATCTATATGCTGATGGCATATCATACAGTACCATAATATACCTTCCAAAGTCATAGTTAACCTAGAACTCCCCCTGAACTCCAATCTTATATCTCTAACTGCCTAGCCACATAGTCACTTATATTTCTAAAAGACATCTCAACTTGTCAGCTCTGTAATCAAACTTTTGATCTTACCCCCAAACCTACATATAGTCAGTCTTTCCCGTCTCCGTTAATGGCAACCACAGCCTACTAGTTGCTTAGACCAAAAATTCTGGAGTCTTCCTTGATGCCTCTATTTTCAACCCTTGTCCAATGTGTCAGGGAAATCCCACTCCCGCTTTTCCTTAAAAGTCTATCCAGGATCTGACCATTTCTTACCACTTCCACTGATACCACTGCAGTCTAAGCCATCAGCACCTCTAGTGAGGATAACTGTAATAATCTCCTAACTAGTCTCCCTGCTTCCACCCTTGCTTCTTTACAGTCTACTTCAACAAAGCAGCCAACGATCTTCTAAAAATTCAGGTCAGGTCATGTAACTTCTCTCCTTAGAATGCTCCAGTGACCTCCCCATGTCACTCAGAATGAAAACTAAGAGCCCTACAACAATGTGTCCCCTCCTCCCAGCCCTTCCCTCTCTGACCTCAGGCACTACTACTTACATTTCCACTCACCCCATTTGGCCCACACTCGCCTCTTCTCTGCTCCTCCAATATGCCAGGCACACTGCTTCAGACCTTTGAACTGGCTGTGCCCTTGTCTGCAAAGCTGTTCCCCCAGATAACCACATTACTAACCCCTGCTGCTTTCAAGTCTTTGCTCACATGTCAACTTCTTGGTGAGGCTTACCTACACCTGTTTTTTTAAAACTACACTCTCTCTGTCCCTATGCTCTGGCACTCCTGGTCCTTCTTACAGGGCTGTTTTTATATCTGCAGAATACCAACCTTCTTTATATTTTATTATAATAAAATAAATTCAGATTTATGATGTACCATAAAAGTCCTTTTTTTATTATTTTTGTTCTCTGTTCTCCCATTCCACACCTATGAGAATGTAATCTCCTCAAGAGCATGGATTTTGGTCTTTTTATTCACTGATGTACTATCCCTAGAACAGTCCCTGGCATCTGTTAAACATTTGAAAAATACGTGTTGAATAAATGAATTAAGGAAGTACAAGTAAATACTGTGCCTTCCCTATTTCTACCAATGAATGGATGGATTATTGCTATTGTCATTAACAAGACCCTACTAATGCCCTACATAAAATGTTTCTGAAATTGTTGTGTAGGCTTGAAATTTTGTGTTATGCAATTAAAAAAATTTTTTTTTAATAATTTTATTTATTTATTTATTTTCCCCCCAAAGCCCCAGTAGACAGTTGTATGTCATAGTTGCACATCCTTCTAGTTGCTGTATGTGGGACGTG